AAACTAGAAAACTATTAGTAATAAAATAAAGCAAGAAAATATTATAAAGTATGGTTGCAGAAAAGTTTGATCGAGGCAAAATAATTATGCAAACTAATTAAATAAACAAAGCAAAGACAAGTATTGATTTAAATATATTCAAAACAACCTCACATATTCAGACTTTTCATATAGCACTCATGCTAATCTTTTGTTATGACAAGCAATTATTCTAAGTCTAGAATGAATTGTTATGATATGCTTAAGCTACCCGACAAGATTACTCACTACTAGAAAAAACCCCCTTTAATGACACTCATTGCGTGTCATCTATAGGTGCAGATGACACACAAATACGCGTCATTGAAGCCACCGACATAAATCTCGGATGACATGCAATTTTTTGTCATAGATCTATGACGGGTATTTATGACACTCATTTATGACACACATTTATGACGCTCATTGAGCGTCATTGAAGCCCCTGTCATAAATGAAGATGACACACATTTGTGTGGCATAAATTTATGACATGCATGTATGACTTACATTGAGTGTCATTGAAGCCCCCGTCATAAATGAAGTTGACACACAGTTGTGTGTCATAAATTTAAGACACGCATGTATGACTTACATGTGTCATTGAAGCACACGTCATTAAAAAAGATGACACACATTCGTGTGTCGTGGTTGTATTTCTTAATTATATATATATATTGCAGATTGACAAATAATCAAACTAAATCACATTTAATGCCTTATAATACTAAATATATATATCATATTATATATAAGCAATCCATTTGCATACAATATATTCACATTAAGTTATAAAAAATATTGTAATCATATGTAGATACAAAATATCACGGCATAATAAAGTATTCCATATAAGATACCCATTCTTTGCGAATATCATCAATGTTATCATCTGTGTATTCTTCCTTCCCATCGCCAACCTAAGTAAAAAAATATGAAATAACTATATAATTTATACTTATTTAAAGTGAAGTACATAACTATCAAAGAGTACTAAAATGACCAATTTTACATATGCATTCTTTAAAGCATATGTAAAAATTAATTTTACACATTTAATTAGTAAAACTTCCCATATAAATTATATACATTATCACGACACGAATTCATAGTTTTCAGTCTTGCTAACAAGTACTTGCCTTAATTTGTTTAGAATAGCATCCTACTTCAAGTCTATATGATAGTTGTATGACTAATGTGTATGTATGATCTGACAGATGTGTATCAGAAAAGTTTGCTTACATTCTTATTGACCAGCACTTCAAGTTCATTCTTGACTATCTCTTTCATGGACTTACAAACATAATATCCACACTCGGTACCTCCCAACTGACGGGGACACTACAAACAGTTTACAATAAATGATTAGTCCAAATGAAAGATGCAATTTAAACAAGGAATGATCGATCGAAGTCCTCACCAAAATATTGATCCAATTGAGGCTAACCCTTTTGTTAGATCCACTCTGAGCAGTGTACAATTTCATTGCCCTATAAAAATTAATGAAATATATCAAAGAATATACTATAATGTTTCGACAATTTATGTTACTTACATATCAATAATCTGCTTCAACTGCTGATGGACATTGGTGGGCCCCAAGGAATCAAGATAATAATAACTTGTTCCTTTCATATCTATCACCGCCAACACCCAATGTCTTCTATAAAAACCAAAAACCAAATTAACTTACTAAAATATATTGATAATCAAATGAAAAATCAAATGAAAAAACAAACCTGGGATTAAATGGCACTAGGACGATGTCATTGTCCTTTCTTAGAGACAATCGATATGCAACGCTTCGAATTTCCTCATTACTATTTTTGAATTTTTCCTTACGTCTTGATGGCGAGATTGCATACGGGCTCATAAAGAAAATTACATGATCTCTTTTTGGCCCATTCTTGATTTCCTCAAACAAGTACCTATAAATTAACATACAAAAACTAAAATGATTAAATATATTGTGTTTTACTAAAATTAAAATTAAGCACTTACATTATATAACAAGTAATCGCAGAACCAATCATCTCATCCACAGTAAAAACCACTTCAAAATCTTCCCAAGTTATGTACGTGAAACTCTCATACTTTAACATATCGCCCTCACATTGCACTTTCACGGACTCCACATTTTTAATTTGTATATCAACCGTACGTGCAAACACTTTCAAAACACGGTTGCTTTCAACTCTTAGCCTTGTCCTCATTTGTGCTCTAGTCTTCCTCCTTTGTGGTATTCCCTCCTCCTTTTCTTTATTTTCCCCCTCTTCAGTGTCCCTTGTCTTTTCCCCTCTTTCTTTTTCCTTTGCGGTGTCCCTTCCCCTTTCCCCTCTTCCTTTTTTTTCTGTCTTTGGTGTCCCTTCTCCTTTTCTCCTCTCCCTTTTCAACAAGTTCTCTTTGTCATTTTTTTTCCTTTCTTACTATCTACTTCATATTCATTCACACATTTCTTTCCTATAAACGCCAACACTTTTTCCTACAAAAAAATATAAAGAAATCATTTAAATTAAACCTATATAATTTCTTTAAATAAATGAAAATATTACCAAATCAGAGCATCGAATGACTAGATGTCTAGGCCACTTCACTAGGAACCCCACTGCATATTTAACCTTGTAAATGAACTCCTCATATAGTGAAAACGGTAGTAAAGCGTCTCCTTGCACACTCATTTCCATCATTACTTCAATGTTTTCACCTGTTATATAAAGTTAAAACTAAGATCCAATATTCTAAAAAAGAAAAAAGAAAACTGATATTTTTTGTAATACCTGATAGATCATTGTGCTTCACTATCGTTCCTTTGGCAACTATATTGGAGGCAATATCAATCGCAAGATAACAGAAAATATTCTACAAATATATAATATTAGTTGTAGTCAAGACTTACATTTAATTCATACTATAATTTAAAAAGACTTACAAGTAATTCCTCGGGTGGGTTGACTTCAAAATCCTGCTTTGTCCCACCCTTGGCAACTTACGCCTTCAGAAGCATGATTTATCCCTTTTTGTAGTTTCTCTATTGCACCTTCAATTTGGTTGAACCTTTTGTCAATCTTTTTCTTCTCACCATCTAAGTAGTTCTTCACGGTCTTGGGTAAGTAAAACTATTGGTGTGGCCTTACAAATTTGCCAATCCCTTGTACACGCCCACGTTGTTCTTGGGTACCTAGGGCTTGGGTAAGAATGTCATTTGTTCCACAAGTGACCTCCCTAAAGTTTCTGAGTTTTTCATTTCTTCCTATAGTGAAAGCAAATATTCATATTCAAAAAAATCAAAGGATTAAAGCTCATATGGGTTTAAGTTCTAGCATTGTAAATATTGTTGTTGTTGTATTTTTTCCTAGTACCAATTATTCATCACTGTAATAAAAACTCGATCGAATTCAAGCAAAAACCCAAGGCATATCATTGTCCTATTATGAGGAGGAAAAAGTCTATAATTAGTGTGTTTCCTTTTTATTATCATTTTTTAATTTATTCCTCGGGGAGATCACATTATTTTATTTGTCGTTTGCTCTTTGGAAATTTGGTGTCACAAGCACATAATGTAGTCAAAGTCCTAGATATCAATTAGTCAAAGTATAACTGATCGTGGTACATATGGACATTAGGTAAAACTCTTTTATAACATGCCTCCTAACTAATTCGAAATTAAAAGGACCACAAATGCTTGTCCTATATTCTTATGTGCACAAAGCTATAGTCAAAGACAACTGAAAAATAATTGGTGGGTAAAACTATTTCCATTTCGACATTGAATATTTAAGTGGGGTAGTGACCGGTTAACTTGGCCAAATATGAGGCTTATTAGATAAAATTGCACGAAAAATAACAAAGATGTCCAAATAAACAAAAGTTAAAAGTAGAAGAAATATGAGGCTTATTAGAGAACATTATTAACGATCGAATTAACACCAATCATAATAATGAATGGACCATAATTTATTTTAACCTACAAATTAGGGGTCAAGTGATATTTACTTAAGAAATTAAGCCAAATTCATTAAGTCATTCTAAATTAAGGACCAAATTAAAAAGAGCTTAAACTTCTAGGAGCTAATTAAAAAGAATTAGAAATATGAGGTTAAATTTAACTTGTTTTCCTCTAATGCCAATGAAGGGCGGAAACTGTAGAAGAACAAGCTTAGAGTCAATTTAACTTTGGTGAGGTCGAAAGGTCGGTTTTGTCAAATAAAGTACCCTTTCATTAATTTCATTAATTGTTATTATTTTCATCTATCGAAAATTTTATCTAAATATAAAAGTCAAAGAATGCAGTTTACTGAATTATTTTCTAGAATTGATGCAGTTGATGCTACCACCATCAAACGTGTAGCAAGTATGGAAATAAATAAAATAGTTTGAAATAAGCAGACATATATATACTAACTTGGTGCTATAACAATAAGATGAAAATAAATAAAGTAGGAATGTTCACAGGAACTTACCATTTTATCAACAACAATCTGGACATTCGGGTCATAACCTTCTTTTTTCATTTGTCTTGCCTTTTTCCACAACAATGCTCTATCAATCTCGTCTTCCTCATTTCCCGTTTCTTGCATCTAAATTAAAAAGAATAACAACAATGAATTAACATAAAAAGATGCATATCTATACTATTCAATTAATTTAATACATACAATCTCAAGAGTTAGTCCAGCATATCCTTTTCTACTCAACCGATGATTGTATATGTGCTGTCCACGCATTTTTTAGCTTTCTGACTTGTTTCCTGCATTTGAAACATTAAAACAGTCAAGACTGGTTTCTAAAACTAATATATAACAAATACAAACACGAAAAGTTTAACTAACCTCCCACTTCTTTGAAAGTCTTTGCAATACAAAAACCTTTCAGTCATCTATCTTCAAATAAGGATACATATCTGAAGGGTTGAGCAGATTTGCATTAGGGTCATTCTTAAACTTCTCAATGAATTTCTTATACAGATAATGCTTAAAGCTCTTTCACTTTGTCCCAATGGATTGAAGGGTATTCTTCCGACTCCTTGGATCAAGTTCAAAATTCATCTGAAACATAAAGCATTAATTAATAAATATTATTTTTAACAAAAAAATTGGAAGTTAAGATCAGATGTTAGACTTACCAAAATGTATTGCCATAAGTCTTCTTTTTTTTCCTGTTCAACATCTCTTCAAGTGGCATAAGTGATAGGCACCATTGATCTTGCTATCATGCCCTCAAAGGAAGCAAGTTTCTTTGCTTCAACACCAATCGGAACACCCTTTTTACTGTAAGTAACAATAACTTTTCCTTTAGTAGTTTTTCTCTTTATTGTCAGACCTCTTTGTTTAGAGTCTTCATCATGACTCGAAGACTGATCTGATTCCATGGTACCAAGTAGAACCTATTTCAACATGATTCAAATAAAAAAGTTAGTAAAATGCTATTTCTTGCAGTTAGGACAGAATTAATAACATACAAATGTTGAAATAAAAACATACCAAAAAGTAAAGATTTTATTTTGCACACAATATTTTAAACTAATATGCCCTCGCCATCCGGGTGTGTACACAAGAAATCATCATCAAGTTCTACTAAAGGGGAGTCTTGTGAAAAATCAAAAGTAGCATGGTTTTCCAACATATCATCAGTTTCACCATTTGCTCTATTCTTGTACATCTTATGTGGTATGAAGCCTACAACTGAAAAATTCGCATCTTGTTGATCTTGAATATAAAAAACTTGTTTGGCTTGACTAGCTAATATGAAGCGTTCAGATTGCTGATCAAGCCTAGCAAAGTTAACCACTGCGAATCCAAAATCAACTTTTTTTATTCCACGACTATCAACCCAATCACACATGAAAACAAGAACAGTGAATATGTGATAATCAAGATCCCATATCTCATGTGTACGACCATAATAAGTAATAGCACCATACACGGGATTGGAGTCTTTTGTACTAGCAATCTGCATAGCATATGCAACTAGAGATACTCCACTACATTGAGTTGTTTTTTATTCATCTCGAGATGTTGTATGGATCCGCTACTCATTTATGGAAAAACCGTTATATTTCTTCACAGCAAAACTTGGCCCTTTGGCCAACTAACGAACACTCTAACAAATGTCTTCCCCATTAGCCAAATATGTATCAACCTTGGTCTTAAGCCAACTAATAAATGTCCGACTGTGCTGAGTCTGCAACCATTTACTATTTCGAGAGGCACGGGGGTTATGATCCTTCAATTCCAACATATGTTTCCTAAATAATATTAGAAGTTAGAATCATATTAGAAGTTAGAAAGTTTAATGCATTACATAGAGTATAAACAAGACACAGTGGTTCTTACTCTATATACGACTCCACATCAGAAGTGTTTCGTAATACATAAAGATGAGCTTCATCAAGTAGCTTAGCATCTACAACCTCGACTGTACCCCGTGATAAAGGTTTGTCGGTGCGAATTCTTTCATCAGCACGTTTATGAGGATTGCAAATTGATTTCATGTTTTTAAGTAGTCTGAGCAAAATTCCAGGGCTTCCTCTGCCCACATAATATTCTGCAATGCAACCTTCGGGTCGATGATGATTCTGTACATAGCCTTTGAGGGTTTTCATGTATCTCTCAAATGGATACATCCACCTAAAATGAACTGAGCCACATAACCTCACCTCTCTAACTAAATGCACCATCAAGTGAATCATGACATCGAAAAACGAAGGAGGAAAATACTTCTCTAACAAACACAAAGTTAATACGATGTCACTTTGCAACTTGCCTAGCTTATTAACATCAACGACTTCACTACACAACACGTTAAAAAAATGACACAAACCTATGATCGTTTTCCTCACTTTCACATGTAACACCCCCTTTATTGCAAAAGGGAGAAGTTGTTGCATCAGTACATGACAATCATTAGACTTCAAACTATTCATCTTTGATACATCATCAGACACGAAATTCTTGAAATTCGAATAATACCCATCAGGCACTTTTATGGTAGACAGGGTCTCGTAAAACCGGTGTTTCTCCGAGGTATTCAATGTGTAGCATGCAGGCGGAAGCCAAGTACGATTACCTCTTGGTTGAGTTTGTAATTCAGGCTTATTGCCCATCTCTTCAAGATCTTGTTGTGCTCTGAACCCATTCTTCGTCTTGCCAGGCAAATTCAACAATGTCCCATAAACACTCTCACACACATTTTACTCTATGTGCATAACATCTAACTGATGACGAACGAGTAACTTCTCTCAATATTCAAGTTCAAAAAAATTGATTTGATGTGCCAAAATTTAGCTCTCTCATCGATGCTTTCTTTTTCCTTCTTTGACGTTGTCTTCTTACCCCATGAAGTCTCAAACCCCGTCAGATAGTCATAAATCTCTTCACCTGATATGGTTGTTTTATAGCATCATCCTCCTCTTGTTGATTGTTGAAATCTTTTTTTCTTTTATGAAGAGGATGCTGAAGTGGCAGGAATCTTCTATGACCAAGAAAGCATACTTTCTTTAAATTTGGCAACCACTGTGAACAAGTATTCTCTGAACATATTAGACACGCATAATAACTTTTGGAAACACGCCCCAAAAGATTACCATAAGCAGGAAAGTCATTTATAGTCCAAATTAATATTGCTCTTAGATTGAAGTATTCTTTCTTATAAGCATCATATGTCTTCACGCCAGTTTCCCACAAGAGTTTTAGATATGCTATCAATAGTGCCAAGTAGACATCAATATTGTTACCAGGTTGTTTTGGACCTGATATCAATAGAGTCAACATCATGAATTTTCTTGTCATGCACAAATAAGAGGGTAGATTATAAGTTATTAAGATAACCGACCAACAACTATGCTTTGAACTTAATGACTTGTGAGGATTGATACAATCAGCGGACAAAGCTAATCTAAGATTCTGTTTTTCTTCTCCGAATTCTTTCCACATTCTATCAACAAGGTTCCAAGAGGGGGAGTCGCGATGATGACTTATCATAATGTTATTAGCCCAACTTGTGCATGCCAAGTTAAGTCATGTGTCATTTCTGGTGACGAAAACATTCTCCTAAATCTGGGGATGGGAGAAAAATACCACAAAAATTTCGAAGGTATGTTTTTTGTATTCTCCTTCCAACGAGATGTGCCACAAGTTGGATATTTAGAAGCATCCTTATGTTCTTTCCAGAATAGAACACAATCGTTTTCACATGCATGAATTTTTTTCATATTATAGACCTACTCCTTTTAGCAATTTCTTGGCATCTTATAGGGAGTTAGGTATTGTATTGTTTAATGGCAAGACATCTTTTAGGGCACCTAATAATACTTCAAAACTAGCATCAGACCACCCAAATTTACCCTTGATATGTTAGAATTTCAATAATCCACTAAGTGCATTATACTTTGACCCTACGTAAAGTGGCTTCTCACATTCTTCAAGAAGTGACTTCAATGAATCCAGTTCTTTTTCTACATCTCTGAAGGCATCATGTACCATATCTCTTGTATAATCAAAGTCGGGAGGAATAGATTTGTTAGGGCATCTAGAATCAAGCTCGGGATGTCTTTCTCCATTGAAAGACCAAAACCTTATAACTTTCATCAAAGCCAGAGGCAAACAGATGATAACGCACGGTCTGAATTGAGTGGTGCCACAAATTGATAAAATGTATACAAGGACATTGAATAAGATCTGAATTTGGATCATTACTCTGTACAAACTCTAGAAAGGTGTTTACACCCACTTCATATGCATCAGATAACCTATAAGACAAAATCCATGATTTATCCATCGACCATTACTTACCAACCTAAATAATTATAAAGTATTAGAAAAACTACAACTTTATAACTGATGATTGATGAAATATTTATGTAAGATATGAAGAACAAAATGTTTACCCCAAATTACCGAGTACAAAGTAACACTAACAAATTCATTTTGTACTATGCTATAGAACAATGTTCAAGGGTTATGACCCATTCATAAAATCTAAAAAACCCAATCGAAACTGGAATAAACCCTAACAATGTTAGATAAATTATTTGAAAACCCAATTGAAAATAAGGAAAGCCATAATTATTCGATTCACAAAAATAAACTCAAATAATTTGATGAGTTGGAGAATGTAAGGTTTGAATTCTATCTTAACTAGAGACCAGTTTATTTGTTACTTCCTTGCCTTTTCTTTTTATCCTATTATCCTTTGGGATTTATGCTCCAGTTTAAGTGTCTTGATGAATTGATGTTGGTGTGGTACTTCTGAAATACATGATTTGTCTAATTTTACCTCTTCTGTACAGATTACTTGTAACTTTTACTCTCCAAACATGAATGTTGGAAACACAAACTTTCCACTTATTAAACGGCTTGATGAGTGCATATTTGTAAGTTGCATATGAACCTAGTCCAATTGTGCCAAACTGTTAACATTTATGTAATAATTGTCCTTATGAGCCTGTATAATCAAAATTTATTATTATTTTTTCTCCTTATAAGTATGTTGAAATAATCCTTAATATGCATAATCTAGTGTTATTTGCTAAAATTTCGTCAACTCCAGGTAAAGAATGAATGGTAACAATCTACAGACCGTTTTGTTAAGTGAATGACATGCATGCATATAAATAGTTGTTTTTACAAAGAACTCGTGGGACCTGTTTTAATTTCAATCCTGAAATTTTAGAATTCTTCTTGATGAAGTTGGGGATACTGGAAACACTAGTAAGAATCTTAATCTTCTTTTGTTAGAATTTCAATCCTGAAATTCTATAATTATTTTTAGTGCCTGATTGTCATACTTACTAATTAACCATCAAAAGTTTTTCATGATCTATGATTGGACACCAGTTTGAGTTTCAGTTAAAATGAACATTAACAAAACACATTGTCTCTCCCGTTGTAACAGAAAGGGTTTTACATACAAATTCACAGGAATATAACATAAGTAATTCACAGGAATATAGCATCAATGTGGTAAATGCAAAAGTTTTTAAGCAACAAATAATTGGCATTAGGGTAAACGAATAGGCTTTGGAAATAAGATATGCCTGTAAACATTTCAACAAGCATAAAAAAAATATATCACAAGACAATCAAATTCAACATTTGGAACAAAAATACATAATCCATTAAACCCAAAAAGCAAAAAGAGTTCAAGAACTAGAACAAAAGTCCAATGAAGTATAAAAACCGAAATAACCCACTTAAAGAACCTATGAAATGAACAAATCAGTAGCGATTAATTAAATAAGAAAATTAAACAAGCAACAAATCTTGATTCAATTTCAAATATATGAAGTAAAAACATCAAACCCATTAAATCAACAAAATAGAAATCAATAAAACCCCAAATATTAGAATAGAGAACGAAGAATACCTGTGGAAAACTCTTGAATTTGACTCCCTTCATCTACGTTGTGGTGAATGGCCAACCAGTGGACTTATACAAAGAGAAAAGGGGGAAGCATGCGGCGTGAACTGATTAATTCTATCTTAACTAGAGACCAGTTTATTTGTTACTTCCTTGCCTTTTCTTTTTATCCTATTATCCTTTGGGATTTATGCTCCAGTTTAAGTGTCTTGATGAATTGATGTTGGTGTGGTACTTCTGAAATACATGATTTGTCTACATGAATGTTGGAAACACAAACTTTCCCTCACTTATTAAACGGCTTGATGAGTGCATATTGTAAGTTTGCATATGAACCTAGTCCAATTGTGCCAACTGTTTAACATTTATGTAATAATTGTCCTTATGAGCCTGTATAATCAAAATTTATTATTATTTTTTCTCCTTATAAGTATGTTGAAAATAATCCTTAATATGCATAATCTAGTGTTTATTTGCTAAAATTTCGTCAACTCCAGGTAAAGAATGAATGGTAACAATCTACAGACCGTTTTGTTAAGTGAATGACATGCATGCATATAAATAGTTGTTTTTACAAAGAACTCGTGGGACCTGTTTTAATTTCAATCCTGAAATTTTAGAATTCTTCTTGATGAAGTTGGGGATACTGGAAACACTAGTAAGAATCTTAATCTTCTTTTGTTAGAATTTCAATCCTGAAATTCTATAATTATTTTTAGTGCCTGATTGTCATACTTACTAATTAACCATCAAAAGTTTTTCATGATCTATGATTGGACACCAGTTTGAGTTTCAGTTAAAATGAACATTAACAAACACACATTGTCTCTCCCGTTGTAACAGAGAAAGGGTTTTACATACAAATTCACAGGAATATAACATAAGTAATTCACAGGAATATAGCATCAATGTGGTAAATGCAAAAGTTTTTAAGCAACAAATAATTGGCATTAGGGTAAACGAATAGGCTTTGGAAATAAGATATGCCTGTAAACATTTCAACAAGCATAAAAAACATATATCACAAGACAATCAAAATTCAACATTTTGGAACAAAAATACATAATCCATTAAAACCCAAAAAGCAAAAAGAGTTCAAGAACTAGAACAAAAGTCCAATGAAGTATAAAAACCGAAATAACCCGCTTAAAGAACCTATGAAATGAACAAATCAGTAGCGATTAATTAAATAATAGAAAATTAAACAAGCAACAAATCTTGATTCAATTTCAACATATATGAAGTAAAAACATCAAACCCATTAAATCAAACAAAATAGAAATCAATAAAACCCCAAATATTAGAATAGAGAACGAAGAATACCTGTGGAAACTCTTGAATTTTGACTCCCTTCATCTACGTTGTGGTGAATGGCCAAACCAGTGGACTTATACAAAGAGAAAAAGGGGGAAGCATGCGGCGTGAACTGATTATCGAGGGGGGAAGAAACGAGAAAGGATGAAAATAATGGGGGGGAAATTAAAAGACGACTTTTTACAGATGAAACACAATTAAAAGTGTGATGAAACACAATTAAAAGTGTACTCCGTGTTTTTGTAAAATTTTTGGATTATGACTATTAAATATGACACACATTATTGTAAGTAATAAATCGTTCAGATTTTAAAAAAATGACATTTTTTTATGACATATTTTTTGCAAGTCATAAATTAGCGTGTGTCATCGTTCGTGTGTCATTAAAGGTATATTTTCTTGTAGTGACTTCTTAGATGGTTGTTATGGCAATACTACTCAGTGTTAACTATAACCCTTGGTTTGTTAGACTCTTGTTGTAGCGATACCTCTCTGCGTGAACTATAATTGTTGTATATCCTACTTTAGCGTTTATGCCTTTTAGTCTATTAAAACCCTCTCCTTATCTCTAAGGCAGAAAAGTTAGAACATCACCATCCCGGATCCATTCTATTGTTAACGTAGATCTAGCTTAATTCTCTTGAATCTAAGAATCAATATCTAGACAAACGACTATCTCTCGAATCTCTTACATTGTCAAGACGTGTTTCACCTAGACTCCAGGCATTCTCTTGAAGCTCTTACAGTGTCAAGGCAAAATATTTAAACAATGAACAAAACAATCATGAGAAAAATCATAATTTGTCATTCATAAATAGAAAATAATTATTTCGACAAAACAAAGACTAACACCAAAGTATCATCGTTTTAATACAACCCCAAGCAAAGTAAAGAAACAAAGAACAAAGGAAGAACGACTCCGAAAACCGCGGGCTCTTTCATGACATCTCTGATCAACACTGTGTCTGCCCTGGTGGCCAGCCTCTCTCGAGGCCTGACCACCGCTTTGCTATATCCTGGCTATGGAGGACACCAAGGACGGTCGAGTTGGAAAATGGTAGGGAAGCACTGCAGTTTCTCCCTCATGCTTCAGTTAAAGCTCTTCTTACTTCCTTACCTCTTTTTGACGGTTGTTGCTAAGAAATCTCTTAGGGTTTCAAAGGGAAATCTCCTAGGGTTTCGTGCAAGTAAAGATTCCCTTAATACACGTTATTTTCTTGTTCAGGCTAAAAAAGGAAAGGTGACTGGCTGTTGTCAGAATCTTGAGGGCTTGCTTGCATGTGAAGGTAATTGTACAACTGGCATGTGACATAGGCAATTCTTCATATCCGCTTCAGACTTGCAAGATAAACCCTGCCTTGGCGAGATAAATCTGCTCCTCACTATCTTTATCTTCTCTATTCTACTGGCCCTTGAGAAATACTTTTTTGCGACTGAAATGTTCTTAGTTAATTTCCTACACAAACACAATCCACACAAGCCCTTTCTCCACGGCAACATCAGTCAAACCCAACAAATGTTGCCTAAGCAAAACTTATCCACCACATGCAAATATAACCTAAATGCAGCTAAATGCAACTATTATGTTTTGAATATTTTGTTTAGACGAGTAATAACTTAAGTAAGAAGACTAAAAATAGAGTCTTTTTATGGAGTTATCAAAGATCAATGACTGAAATAAAAAGAAATAATAAATTAAGATGCCTAAATGCAAATACTAAAAACTAAGTGTTGGAAATACAAAAAGGACTGAAATAAAATGTTAACAAGTTAAAGTGCTAGAAACTAAAATTTTGGAATTTAAAGTGCTGAAAAATAAATAAATAAATAAAAGAAACAAATTGCATAAATTTAAAAGTTAGGGGGTTAGTTTGATCAATAAAATAAATGTTAGAGTTCTAATAAGTTGGTGACT